TGGCTGATTTTTCTGTTTTTTGTAGAGATGAAGTCTTGCTGTGTTGCTCAGGCTGGTCTTGAACTCCTGGCCTCAATCAATCATCCCACCTCAGCCTCCCAAAGTGCTGGGATTACAGGTGTGAGTCACTGCGCTCAGCCAGATTGTAGCTTCTTAATGAATAGGACCTTGTTTTATTTTTGTTTGTATATCCCAGAATGTTACATTGCTTTGAAAATTACTTGTAATGTATGAATGAGTAAACCAGCCTGTCACCCAGAAGGTGAAGACCCTGGGTCAGAAGAACAAGAGAAATTTGCCTTCGATTTTTTTCTGCTTGGAAGAAAGAGAGAAGGCAAACCAGATAGAGCTCCTGTGATATCCACTGCCCAAATTTTAGGTAGTGGACAGGCCCCTCACTGAGACTTTGGGCTGAGGAAAACATTTCGTACCCCTGTGCTTTGCCTCACATGCGTCTATTCCAGGAATGTGTTGGCGCAAAGGGAGGAGGCTTTTATCCTTTGCTGCTGTGACTGGCTGCAGAGCAGTTTACATGGGTCAGTAGATAATTTTGATTAGTGGTGTATCATACATTGACACAAAAGTAAATCTTCACTTTGCAAGATGTGTTGCTTGTGAAACAGAAGGAAGAGAAATAGATGCAGTATTTGAATGTTTGGCATTGTGTTCTTCTTTTTCAGTTAAATCCAGATGTAAATGTTTTCCAGCGGAAATTTGTGAATGAAGTTAGAAGATGTGAAGAAATGGATCGAAAGCTTCGTATGTGTATTTTGGTCTTGTATAATGCTTCTTTAATGAATCATTTGTCTTAGATTAGAGACATGAATTAGTCCTCTTAATAAAGAAAGAAAATACTATAGGAAAAAAAGAAAAGAGGAAAAATCCTAAAATCACGATGTTAAGATTAATTTCTTGTATACAAATAGATTTTATGGTATTTGGGCTGGGTTGTGCTTAATGGAAACCTTGTTTGAAACAATAGGTTGCAAGCTAAAAAAAACACTGTAGTTATTTTTTTTGGTGAGATTTTAATAGTAGAACTACGTTATAGAATTCTGAGAGAAAGGACGCAGCACACCATCAGTTTTAGATGTCAGTAGAGCCACCTTATGGTTTGATCTATTTATGAGAGAGGAAACTAACATTTATTAAGGTCCTGTTGAGGGTTAGCATGCTCATGGACCTTATTTCATTCATTGCCCACAACATTCCTTCAAGATGAGTGTTACCTCATTTAATGATTGAAGAAGCTAGAGACCAGAGAGGTTTAATGACTTGCCCTAGAATGTAAGCAGTTGTGATGGAATCAGTATTTGAAACTAGGTTGTTCAGTCTGGCTCCAAACCCGTGATCTTGCCACCCTACTTAGCTAGTTTACGGTTAACTGTTAGGTGAATTTGGTCCCCACTCTAAAAAGAAAGTTAGTATTGTCACTTGAAACACTTTTTTCTTCTGGTATTTTGGGTCCTTATTACATGTTCAGCTTTTTTATTTTTATTTTTTATATTTAAAACTGGCCTGATTATCTCCAATTTAGTGAACCCCTTTTGATCTGGAGTTGTCTTACTAGTGTGTGAAGTGTCAAATACTCAATTGAATTATGCTCTTCATGTGTAGCTCTGCTTTGCCAGCAGTATCTGCATCCAGAAACGTCATACTGTGGGGTGGCAGTGGCGGAGGGTGGAGAGTTGAAGCAGATGAAGCCTAGTGTTATGGCCAGAAGAGGGAAGGAAGGCACTTGTGGGATGACCACCCTCTTTGGAGTAGCTTTAGAGAGGTGAGGTTGGAGAAAGAGGGGTGTGGAGAAAAAGGATGCTTCTTTTATATAAAAGTATCTTAGAATGAAACTCTTTGTAGCCACGTTTTGGATCTTATTTTTTGCCTCAAATAATGGCAATTCCAGGCATGTGCAGCTAGACATGAATGTTTTGACTCTATCATTTTAGGATTTGTTGAAAAAGAGATAAGAAAAGCTAACATTCCAATTATGGACACTGGCGAAAACCCAGAGGTGCCCTTCCCCCGGGACATGATTGATTTAGAGGTAAACAGTTCTTCTGAGAAAGCCAGATAAGTTTCTTTCTACTTAAATGCAGAAATTACTTTTCATGGTGGTTGGAGAGTAGAGTATTCTTGTTAACTTTGTCAGCATCGTCTGTTGGTTGTAAGTTTCTTGTCGGTGTGATTGAAGTGAATCCTCTTTCTTATGACATCAAATAATATTCAAACCAGTATCATATGTCACTGAACAAATGTTTATTGGCTTATTGAAACTTTATTGGAGTAATGATAATTTATCTAGTAATTTATTAATCTTGTATACTAAATGAACAGCCAGTGGGCTTTTCGATAATTATTTTATCCAACTGAAATCCCCCAAGAGATTTACCAAGTGTACAGTAGAATCTAGAGACAAAGACTATTTTAAGCAAAAAAATTTTCATAAAGAAAATAGAGGCCAGACGTGGTGGCTCATGCCTGTAATCCTAGCTCTCTGGGAGGCCGAGGCGGGAGGATCACTTGAGCTTGGGAGTTTGAGACCAGCCTGAGCAAAAGTGGGACCCCGTCTCTAAAATAGAAAAATTAGCCAGGCTGAGGCAGGAAGATCACTTGAGCCCAGGAGTTTGGGATTGCAGTGAGCTATGATGATACCACTGCACTGTACCTGGGTGACAGAGTGAGGACTCTGTCTCAAAAAAAAGAAAAAGAAAAGAAAAGAAAATTGCTCGGTTAAAACCACAGTATTTGCTGAAGAGGAGTAAGATGTTTTTGAACTGTCAATGTGGCAACAGTTCTTTGGGGTGAAATTCTTTTAATGTCTTTCAGAGCAAGCATATCAAGTTTAGCTTGAGTTTTCTTTTGTTCCTCTAGGCTAATTTTGAGAAGATTGAGAATGAACTGAAGGAAATCAACACAAACCAGGAAGCTCTGAAGAGAAACTTCCTGGAGCTAACTGAATTAAAATTTATACTGCGCAAAACTCAGCAGTTTTTTGATGAGGTCAGACTATTGTTTCTTTTAGTATTTGAGCAGCTGATATTACACTCGTACAAGTGGGCCATATTTTTATTCCAGTAATTATTTTAATTTGCTGTTTTGGAAGCAATACCATTTTTGCACCCTTCTTTAGTTGAAGAAATGTCAGATTGTGTTCCATTTTTCATGCAGTACACAGCCAGCCATGGTTTTGTATTTTTTCACATTTTCTGCAATTTTTCATCTCAAGATGGGGAAAGGAACCCTGAAGTAGTTGTATAAACATAGTTGGTAGACATTTTTACATTATATTTATACTTACATATTATAAGGTAAGTATATGCTTAAGGTTAAAGTTGAAGAAACAAACATTTGGTTATACACGAAATGATAAAAAGGTTTAAACACCAAACCTTTTGTTATCAAACTTTTTATTTTATTCTCTGTGTTTGCTTATCAGCCTTTGAGCACAGTGTTTAGTACTTCAGATAGCACATGTCGCACTAATTTTTCAAGAGTTTTTCATTGTGTTGTATGGAAATATTGTAGGATGCTTGTTTAAAACTCCTGGATTTTCACATAAACTTAACTGCATTACCTTATAGGGAAAAATCTTACTAAGTTCCTGGGGTTAAAAATGTAGGTGACGAAGTTGACAGCTTGCTGAGGTGACCCCATGGAAAGGATTTGGAGCAAGGCTTGCAGAAGGCTTCCTTCTCCAAATTGATTAGCTTTCAATCTGAATGTGGTTTTTCTAATGACCTAATGTATGAGTAACTATCTTTTTGACAGATGTCTATGCTACCAGATTAACAATATTAGACACTTCAGAGACCATTCCAGTCACTGTTTAGTGTGCCTTCCCATAAAGTTCTTTATTTCCTTTGCTCAACAGAAAAACTTGGCAAAGCTTTTAAATAGAGAGGGCCTGTTTTAGTGGGGATCTGATGTGTTCTCAGTTTTACTTTTAACTTTTGCCTTTTGAAGAGAGATCGTGTCTCCATAATCGTCTAGGTTGGAGCAGGGGTTCTCCCACCAGCAGCACCAGCAGCCTCACCTGAGATCTTCTTAGAAATATAAATTCTCAGTCCCTACCCCAGACCTGCCGAATCAGAAACTGGGGGTGAGACCCAGCAGTCTTTTTAACAAGGTGATTGTGAGGCATGCTAACTTAAAAACTGCTGGGCTAGAGAAACTCTGCTGAGGATGTGATACATTCCTCAATAACTAAGGATTTGAGTCAGAGAAGCCATGCTAATTAAAAGTAGCTGCTGGGGCTGGGGAAAGGGAGAAAGCTCATGTGAATTTAATTGCCTGGTCCGCCCAAGAATCAGAATCTGCTTATATACCAGTAGAGTTTTGATGTGAATAGTCAGCTTGCTCACTGAGTTGAGAATTTTGAGACTGGTGGTGACTTCTTTCACCAGTCCCTGATATCATCACAGTGGAGGGTGTGGGGCACTGTGATTAATTCTTTCCAAGTGTTTAAGGTCTTTTGCAACAGGCATGAACACTTATGCCATATGGTTTTAATGAACAAGTAATCTGGAATTCCAGCCTGCTCACTGCCTTATGGTATTTTGATTCATTAATTCACCAAGGATATAGTGAGCACCTACTCTTTGTGAGACACGGGATGAGTAAGACATGGTCCCTGTGTTCAGGGAATGTGTCACTTAGTCACATCAGGAAACATCCCTGAACACAGCACCCCCATGTGATCACAGATGTGTGCTTTTCCAAGTGCATCCCAGCTGCTGCCCATAGATCCAGTGTAGACCTGGTCTTGTGGTCAAAGCTCAGATATTTTAGCATAATTCTTTTATGTCCCATTTTTTTCCCCTTTTGATACACCCTTTAGTTTACTAAAGGGATGTTGCTGTGATACATGAAAATATTTTTCAGGACCTCGTAAGTTTAGAGATTGGCGTGAGATTCCTGTTCTGGTTCATTTTGGGAGAAATTCTGAATAAAGACTGACAAATGGACTCTCTTAAAGGAAACAGTTATTTAAACTATTAATTTTCCAATTTGAATAATAGTACAAATAAAATAAAACACTTGGAAAGATGATAAAAGATTTTGAAATCATAAGTTCTGGATTTAGGAATTTTATCTTGTGATTTTAATAAGTCTAAACACTAAATGTCCATCCTGAGAAGGCAGACTCTAAGTCTTCATGATCTTCATGCCCTATCCAAAGTGGGTTGTTTTCCCCATTTATACAGAACATTCTTTTTTTTTAAATCTCTGGAAGTACTTAGAGCATGAGGCCTTGGCTAGGAGAGGGTCTCACGCTGTGCTTGTCATCAGTTCCCTTTTCATTCCTAGAACCCTCAGCAGAATCTTCTGGCACAAACCGCTCTGCCTTGTGTGTTTTCACCACTAGCGCGCAGCCTCGGCCAGGTCCCTTCCCACAGACCTTGCCCTGCCGCTGCCCAGCAGCAGTCGCAGGTGTCACTGCTGTGACTGGAGTGATCGCATCTGTGCATGCGAGTGTGCGCTTTAAATAATGCAAAAGATGAGAAAACTTGGGACCCTCAATTGTCAGAAACTCAGGGTTTCTCATGAGATTTTCTTCCATGCCTGAAATTATAGTGTTTGCAAATGGCCTAAAACACTACCAATTTTAAACTCTTCTTTTTTATGATTTGGTGAATATAATCAATAATTCACAGTTAGTAGAAAATGGCTAAATCAGAAAAGGATTCTTTCCATATTTAGGCATAGGGGTTATGATTGGCAGGGTGTTTAGAAGGGGAAAAGTAAACACATATTGAATATTCTTAGGATCGAAGATGATTACAAGTTCGACTTAGCCATTTCTTACCCAGAGCATTTAAGATGACTTGTTAATGATTATCCTTTTCTCAGTCTTCTTGCTTATGAAGAACTGTAAGAACTCGAGAGATTTCTCTGCATCTTTTACCATAAGCAGCATAACATATGAGAACATAAAGAAGACTGGAAAAGTAATGGTTAATGGCATGCAGATCCTGCTTTCCTTTCCTTCTGAGTTTTCCATCCATCTGCTTTCTTTGTCTTTCTTTCCCATCTGCCATCTCCTTTGGGGCTTGGGCGAATGCCTTCAGTGATTAAATGAAATGTCTTTCTTCATGTAGATGGAAATAACAGTGTTTGTTTTGGAAATTGATGTAGCTTGAATGGGATGTGCTTCTTGTACTTAAATGCTATAGAAACAGAACTGAAGTGCTGCTGCTTCCTTTGCAGAAGGCATGGTTTTCCGTATTCTGGATGGGCAAAGGGGTTAAACCAGAGGGCATAGTAAGTAATGTAGGGGAACATTGGCTGTGTTGTTATTGTATTAGAGAAACCAGATACTCAGATTTAGATACTCAGCAACATGGTTTTCGATATTATTTTAAAGGCCCTCAGTAGTTCTGGTCAACCTACTGTCCCATCAGGCACAATTGTATTTAAAATTTGTTAACTTTCTTCTCTAAAACTTAGGATTCTTAAGCATTAAGTAGTGAAATGAGTAATTAGAATATTATTGCAAATTTCTGTTTAATTTTAATTTTGCTGGTTTTTTATTCTCAAAGAGTCCCAGAATACAGTGTTTGGAGTAGTCTAGTTGCTAAGTGCTGGTTGCTGTTCCCTCAGTTGTCTGCTTTAGAGCACACGTGTTTGCACTGATGCTTAGGATTTACTTGAACCAGGTCTTGTGAACCACGCAGGCAAGCAGGAGGGGTCTTGTGAGTGACAGTCAGTTCCACTGGTTGTTGCCAAGGGATAATCCAAGAACAAATTGCAGTGTGTAGTCATTTGGATCCTGAAAACAAGTTGCTTGCAGTTAGCTGATTTGATTTCAAATAGAAACAGAAGAACCCCCTCACTTCCATGTGACAGCAAGTAGTAACTGGTGTCCCCATTATCTTATCTTAAACTTTTCCAATCTCATGACAGTATTTCTTTGCCCTTCTAGTGTACACAGTGCCTGCCTCCTTTTTTTTTGGCTTTGTTTTGTTTTGTTTTTTCGTTTTTGGTTAGCATTGATCCTTACTTTCCAAAACAATTGCTTTCACGTTTTTAGACCTTTTAGACTTACCATCTGGTTTATACTCAGTTTTTTCCCCTTTTTTGTTACATTTATGGTCCTGTGACTTTATAAGGGAGGTTCCCTTGTGGCATTTTTTGATAGCGTGGTTGACAGGAGTAGAATCAAATTGAAATTTGGAATGAGAATGATAGAGAAAATTTCTCCTGACTTTTTGTTTCGTTTTGCTTCTGAGAAGGAAGATTGTGCTGGCATACTGCTAGTCTTTGGTCAAACAGATAGTCCGTGGATTTTAAAGTTGGGGAGATGAGGCAGTGGAGCAGTTGATTGGACTTTATTTTTTAGGGCAGCTTCTCCTTTCTGATAGGAGTAAAGAGTAATAGGATGAGTTGGGTAGAGAGAGGCTAAGAACTACAGACCTAGGTGTGGGAAGATCCTTCTCGTCCTTCATTTCGTTGTATAAACTGTCATGGTGGAAATCATTTTAAATCTAATCAATTAAGCCAGCCCATGGGCTCTAGACTGGTTTACGGTCTGTTGCTTTTTCTTCACTTTACTTGATTCTTGAGCTGTGTTCTCGAGAATCCTTTAACTGTAAAGCCTATCTGAACTTTTTAATATTTCTAGATTCCTAGTCAGAAAATAGGACATTCAGAGACGTTTTCACTTTTTCTTCCCTTTATGGATGAAATGGAAGCCCAGGCCTGCCCAGCTATTGTACTTCTTATCCTTTTGAAGAAAGAAATACTCTTTAAATCCCATGGTTTGGAGCGTTTTATACATGACCATGCTGAAAGTTCTCATGTTCTGAATTCTTAAGGGCCTGGAAAACCTACATATCTGGAGATGCCCCTTCTCTTTTTCTGCAGATCACACAATGTTCAAGATACTGACAGTGCCTCACTTCTTCCTTAGAAAGAGAGTCTCCATCTTTCACATTCTCACACAGGGAAAATTCTAGTTTGTAGCTGCCTAGAATTAAATGTTGAGAGTATCTGCAGGGCTGCTTCATTTTTGCATGAAAGGGAGAGACATTTCAGCTTTCTACCCACATGCAAAGATATTTCCTGGAACTTTCATGGTTCATGCAGGGAAATGTAGGAGAGAAAATGGCTTCCACCAAGTAACAGATTTATACATGTCACCACCATGTAATTATTTTTCTTTTATTCCTTATTTCTAACACCATTTCCCCAGGTGCTTTACTGGGGCAATTATGCTTTCTTTACCTTGGATTATTTTCTTTGTTTTCTTCCCCTGTTCTTCCTGTCTTCTTTTTGTGGGTATGTCTTATCTTTATTGATGGTTTTTTTTCTTTTTCATCCTTATTTTCTGAACCTGTCTCCTGGTTCCTCGTTCCCTGCATGCCACTAACTATTTTCATTAGATATTAATTGATTTGTGAATTCAGGCTGAATTGCATCATCAGCAGATGGCGGATCCAGACCTGTTGGAAGAGTCCTCATCCCTCTTGGAGCCAAGCGAGATGGGAAGAGGCACGCCTTTAAGACTTGGGTAAGTCCCACTCCAGCCTTTCTGTACTCAGTGGGTCATGTTCATCTTTGCTGTTCAAAAGAGCAGTAAGGCTGGGGACTCGCTTACTACCGGGATGCGTCCCCTTCTGAGCCTGTTGAGAGGTGGTCCTAAGTCCCTGTGGATTCAGTTCCTGAGTGACTCTGCTCTCTGCTTCGTGCAGAAGTGAGATCAGGAGTAAGACTCTGGCAGCCCACATGACAGAACACGGTCTCATGTGTATAGTCTTTGCCCCTCTCCTCTCACCTCCCTTCTTTGTCTTAAACCAAAGACAAATCCCATGATGTGGAATACAGTTCCCAATCTGCCTTTTCTTCCCGCAGCTTCGTTGCTGGTGTGATTAACCGGGAGCGCATCCCTACTTTTGAGCGCATGCTTTGGCGGGTGTGCCGGGGAAACGTGTTCCTGCGACAGGCTGAAATTGAGAACCCCCTGGAGGATCCTGTGACTGTAAGACAAGGAGATTGCGTCCTGGGGAGTAGGTCTTGCAAAGGGATCCCAGAGCAATAATGCAGCGGGGGCCACCCGAGTCCGCCCCTTCCACAGGGGAGCCCTTGTGTCTGTCCCTGCTTTGATATGAGAGTTTGCAGGACTGCTCCTTTCCTCTGACTTTACTCCCGTCATATGTACACACATGTACAATGGCATATATGTATTTTCAAGCTTTACCATGTAGGTTTTATTTTGATTGGTAATTTTTTTCCACTTATTTTAAACTTCAGCTTTATATATTTTCTGTTACTGGTATGGGACTGAAAGAAAATTTGCCTTTTATGAAAATTGACTTAAAGCAAGACATCTGGTTCCAAATTTGGTAATATCCATGTACAAAAAGAGAAAGAGAGATTTCCTAAACTGTGATCTTTATAAGCTGATGAAATTTTACTTGGTAAGGTTTTTTTGGTCTACTTGTTTGTTGGGAGAATCAGAAACTTAGTTTAAGAATATATACTGTGCAAGATAGGATGATCTTCCCCACTCAGTGCTTTGGAAAGTAGGAGCAGCCTAACATCTTGGCATTTGACATAATGGAACAGAATTTATAACCTAAGCCTGCATGGGTATGGTAAGTTCTGATTTCGGAGATTATAAGCAAAGATTAAATGTACTGCGGAAAGTTTACTTTGCTTTTGTACTAGTATTATTTAGAAGCCTTGAGTTGGTTTTTCTATTCTAAATTATCTTGTGAATTTCTTAAATTAGTGTTCTTTGTTCTACCTAAGAAGAGAAATTGAATTGTGAGATTTCTCAGATTGGGTGGGTCATGTAGCTATATGGCTTTTATCCTCCATACTAAGTAGGAGTGTGGTGACACTTACGGTAAATCCCTTTACCTACGGAGGTAGTTTTACAGTCGTACTGAAGGCTGTCTTGGGTTGTAAAAACATTGTAATCTGCAGTCACACCCAATATGGAGCTGTTCTCAGTAATATTCAGTCAAGTTTCCTCTTGGCAACAGAAAGATTATTTTTTCAACAAATCCAGGAAAGGGGGCCCTAGATACCGTAACAGAGCAGCTGCCCAAAGAATGGGCCCTAGTTTAGCCTGGAGAATGTAGGGATTTAAGAGGCTGGAGCCCAATTTTCTTCAATTCTCATCTCCTTTTATCCTTTTAAAGTTTTGCTTGTTTTCTTGTTATAAAAGCAGCACATGCTCTGTACATATATGAGAAAATACAGCCAAGCAGAGACGATCCTGGTTAACAGTCTCTATACCTTATTTGTCAGGTCTGTCCTTCTAGTCTTTGCATTATACTCCAGGTGTAAACTTGGTATTCGGAATGGATTGCCTTCCTCCCTGCCCCATACAGTCTAAATTAGCATGAATCATGAGATTCTGCGTCAACCTTCTTCCCAGCAACTCAGCTCCTTGTAGTTATTCAGCCCATTTTATCTATGAATTTCTAAGCCCCGGAACAGAGAGAAACAGTTTCCTTCTCTTTTCTCTGCTCTATACTATGTCATTCAAGCAATACAAGATTTAAAGTTGAATTGGTAAATAAGGCTAAATAGTACTAGGAGGAACACCATCATAGCTTCTCAGGCTCCTGGTTGAGTCAAAAAACAAAGAGAAAGATTTTTGTGGATGGGCAGATGTTACTGTAGTGAAGTTTAAGAAATGGAGTGAGGGTGGTGGTTAAAGTACAGGACTGTCATCTCCTTGAAAGATGCCTTTTGTTCTTATATCACCACAAAAGTTAGTTATTGAAGAAGTTTTCATCCAGGTTTAGAAGCCTGAACTCTCGGTGTTTGATTCTGGGGCCTAGGGTGACCACGTGCACAAGTCTGTGTTTATCATTTTCTTCCAAGGCGATCAGCTGAAAAACAGAGTCAAGAAGATCTGCGAAGGGTAAGAGAAACATGCCTCCACCAGGAGGGCATGGCCGTGCTGCTTAACTGTTGAGCTTTAGAATTCAGAATAGTGAAACACAAATCCTTTTTTTTTTTTTTTTTTAAAGTTACCCAACTCTAGCAACCTTTATTCTCTCTCACCCTCTCTCTCTCTCTCTCTCTTTTTTTTTTTTAAAGAGACAGGGTCTAACTCTATTGCCCAGGCTGGAGTACAGTGGCACAGTCATAGCTCACTGCAGCCTCGAACTCCTGGGCTCACAAATCTTCCTTAATCCACCTTGACATGGTGAATGTATCTTTTAATAATGTTAGGGCCAACAATTAATAAACAATTAAAAATAGCTTAAGTTCATTTTTAAAAGTACCACCAAAACTGCAATTTCCTTTCCTTGGGAACACGTAATTTTAAGGACTCTTGGTTTATAAATGCCATATTATTCTGGAACAATAGGTCTACATACCCAGCATAGTGCCATAGACACTGTGTCCCTAAATTTTCTGAAATTCTGCCTCAGTGACAGTATTTTTTTCCATGACATTTTTCTCTAATAATTTATGATATAATTTGCTTTACTTTTTTTTTTTTTTTTTTTTTTTTTTTTTTTTTTTTTTTTTTTGAGACAGAGTCTCACTCTGTTGCCCGGGCTAGAGTGCCGTTGCGTCAGCCTAGCTCACAGCAACCTCAAACTCCTGGGCTCAAGCGATCCTCCTGCCTCAGCCTCCCGAGTAGCTGGGACTACAGGCATGTGCCACCATGCTGGCTAATTTTTTCTATATATATATTTTTAGTTGTCCAGATCATTTCTTTCCATTTTTCAGTAGAGACGGGGTCTCGGTCTTGCTCAGGCTGGTCTCAAACTCCTGACCTTGAGCGATCCACCTGCCTCAGCCTCCCAGAGTGCTAGGATTACAGATGTGAGCCACCGCACCCGGCCTTTTTAATCTCAAGAGAATTGCATAGCTACAGAGAATGTCAAGATAGTTCAAATGTTGTTGCTCTATCTGCAGATAACTTCACATAAATAATTAGTGTTGCTTTAACACATCAGTCTGACCTGATCCTGTTTTGGTTCTAGTAAATTAGGATTACCTTCTGAGATTATTTAAATTGGACAGGTTAAGAAATTGTGACGTTCCTAAGGCCGTGTCTGTACATTCCAGGTTCCGGGCCTCACTCTATCCCTGTCCTGAGACACCACAGGAGAGGAAGGAAATGGCTTCCGGGGTTAATACCAGGATTGATGACCTCCAAATGGTACACAGAGGGCTGGCGGGGATTTGTTTTTGTGAAATACTACAATAGAAGGCCATTCTTCTTCCTTGAAACACTGACAGTTTATTAGGTACCTGTGGCAAACCAGGATACCATAAAAAGAAATGTCCATGGGTAATATGTTTCTCTGGGAGCCGGGGAAAGTCTCAGGGAATGGCTGTTAAAAATAGCATTAGTCCTCAGACGAGGCAGGAATGCTAAGCATCTGCAATCGTTGCTTAGAGTATTCAATTCCCCTCCACCTCATGAGTCTGAGATATTTTTTATAATAAAAAAAAGTATGCTTAGTTAAGGAAAAAAAACCAAATAATCCAGAAGTACATGTAAAGTCAGTACACACACACACTGTGCCTACTGCGGCAGCCACTCTTAATTGCTTGGCACATTTCCTTCTAATCACCTTTGATCTTAACCACACAGTCTAGCCAAAGAGCCCTGGTGTGACTCTTGTACCCAAGAAGAGATTGCATCAGGTTTTACCAAATTGCAACGTGTGTGGTTTACACACACCAGGGTTGTCATAGGGTGCTAGGGAGGAGTCGTGATTTATGCATATGTGGAAGAAAAGGGTGGCCAGTGGAGCTTTGTTCCCCTTTGAAGGGATGAATGTGATGATGGCTCCCTCGAAACATTAATAAACATGCTTAATCCCAAAGGCAGTTCCTTCCGCAGTGGCAAAATTGTCAGAGGTATGTTGTAACTGCCATCTCAATTTCCTTTCTCGTCTTTCCCACTGACCCCCACTGTATATGACCCACCAACTTGACCTATAGTCGCTCCTTTGACATACACTTATCTGTTTAACCAGAGAGAGAGAGAGAGTTTTTTAGAACCACTGGTGAATGATAGGCTGTATTAGTACATTCTGGGTTCTAGGGCTGTCTTATCTCCTTCTAGGCTTGAATTTAAAGGGCGTGTGCAATAGTCATTGTAAATGACCAGAATTTGATTTTTTAAAAATCCAGCTGTAGGAACTGAAACTTTAAAAAGGGAATGAATACCAAGAAGTGGGATGGGGAAAGAGAAAAGCAAATAGAACATTGCTTGCAGGTTTATTTAGCATCCTTCCAGAAGTTTTATTAATAATAGTAATTGTGAAATAGTCAACAAGCAGGAGAGAAGGTAGGTGTCCTCAAGTGACATAAGTGTTGCCCTAGCATGCCATGGCTTTTTTTTATTATTATTATTTATTTTCTAAAGAAACCTCTTTATAGACATCACCTTCCTCTGCCCAAGACAGTTTTTCAGGAAGTAGTTACTGCTTTGTTCTGAACTAACTCGAAGAACCATCTATAGTGGAGACTTGTGCTTAACATGGCTAGTGTGTGGCTTTTCCTTTTCAAAGGGATGTGGAGATTGAAGACACATTCTCATGTAGAGGTGTGAGTGGTGGGTTGTTTGCCCAGTTTCTTCCAGTTTGAAGCAACAGGCATAGCCAGCCTCTCTTCTACTATTGAACACCTTAAATATTTGGTAATAAGATAATGGAAAGTAAAATGTCCCTGCACCTTGTTCCATCCCTAGTCTTGGCAGTGTGATTCCTCTGAGGGAAATCTGAACTGGTTTCCAGAGGATCAATGCTGAAACGTTTTTTCCTTTAAGAAGGCTGACAGAAAGGTAAAGCCTTATCAGCCCCCGTGATGGCAATGTTATGTGGTTGCCCAAACCCCCTCTACAGACCACGTGTGCTCCTAATCCCGTGGCATCTCCCAGCCCATGTTCCCAGCGTAGGCAGGCGACGGTGGTCAGCACTGCCTCTTTCTACCCTTTGCTGATCCTGGCTCATGCGCAGGGGAAGGACTCTGCAGTTTGCTGTTCTTTAGTGTGGGTTTGTTCATTTGTCTGCTCCTGGGCCCACTTCCTTGAGTCTGAGTCCCAGTCTCCATGTAGAAAGTCACTGCTCTTTAATGAGCCAGGTAAAAGCCAGTGACCTACATTTGTTGTGCCTTGGATTGGTGGTAAGATTGACTATAGAGAGCAAAGCTAAAAACAGTTTTCTCAGGTTTCTCTTCAGCTTGAAGCTAAATGAAAGTGGATGTTAGTAACTAGAACTTTCTAGCCAGAGGAAGAAACAGATAATTCCCTGGCAGCCTTTATCAGAAAGCTATGCCTCTTTGCCATTCCTATCCTGAGATCTAAGAGTGGTGTTAGAAGGATCTCTCCCTTGTTCCTTTCTCTTCCAAAAGGTTCTGAATCAAACGGAGGATCACCGCCAGAGGGTTCTGCAGGCAGCCGCTAAGAACATCCGTGTCTGGTTCATCAAGGTGCGGAAGATGAAGGCCATCTACCACACCTTGAACCTGTGCAACATAGATGTGACCCAGAAGTGCCTGATTGCGGAGGTCTGGTGCCCCGTCACCGACCTTGACTCCATCCAGTTTGCACTGAGAAGGGGCACGGTGAGTCCCCAAAGCTAGCAGTGCAGCTTGTGGCTTAGAAGAGATGTTCCTATCAATAGTAACATTAATTTCATTTTTATGTCATTTTTACTTTCAGAGTTCTTTCATATATTCATGTTGTATCCTGACAGTACATCTTGTATACCTAGAATAGCCTAGAGTACTATCCTTATTTTGCAAATGTGGAAAGTGCAGTTCAAAGAGGTGAAAGGATTTAGTCATATGCCCATGATTCTTCAGGGTAGCTCATGACCAGAATATCAATTTCCTGACCCACTCTCTGTATTCAACTACTTATGTTTGGCAGGTAATTAGATCAACTGCTCTATCCAAGGCACTGCTATAAGGGCCTGGAGGGGGACAGAGATGTACAGAACATGCCCTCAGGTATCTTACAGGTTATTAAGAGAGGATAACATACAAACATACAAGACAGTGTGTGCCAGGAGTGACATATGTGTGGGGGGGAAGTGTGGAGCTTTTCCAACTGTGGTGATTGGGAAAAGCTTCAAGAAGGAAGGTGACATTTTATCAGGGCATTGAAGGAAGGGTAGGATGTTGATCAGCACTGAAGAGAAGAAAACAGTATGGACAAAGGCAGGAAGTACAGTGCAACCATGCATGATTGGGCAAGGACAGGATTATAATGGGTTAGTTGAAAGAGTGGCAGTGCCTGTCTGCATCAGGTAGATTGGAACCTAATTATGAAAGGTTTTTTTTT